CATGTATAAAGAAGCTGTATTTCTGTATTTCATCTCTCTCTCCTCTCTCTCTCTCTCTCTCTCTCTCTCTCTCTCTCTCTTTCTTTCTCTCGCTCACTTGCTAATATAAATATTACATATAGTATATGTAATTTTCCTCCTCTGTTAAATGGTGCTAATAATATATATATTTCATAGTGTTGTTATATAGAGAAATTTAGATCTATTTTTAGTGCTTGCCCACTAATGTTATTTTGATGATTGCTGTCTTTATTATATATACATGTTTTAAAACTTAATTTTCTCAAGTTTGATGGCCTTTGATGTGCATAACAATGATAATGAGATTGAAGAGAACATACTTAATCTTTTCCTTAACAAAGTGATTTCTTATCTTCAGGAGCCCAGATTCTCTTATATTGGATTAACATGACCAAAACCAAAGACAACACAATCAGTAATCCATAATTAATTAAAAAACAGAATTTAAGATAGAATTAATATAATCATTATTAGTGATTGTTCCCTAATTACATATAATATTTTGGGCTTTTTGAGTATAAAATATATTCTGTAATTTTTTTTAACTAACAGCATGTTTTTTCTTGTTATTTCAGAATGATGATATTGAAACAGATATTAACAAATTAAAACCCCAACGTGTACCAGGACGAACATTAGAAGAACTAAAAATGTATGAACACCTCTTTCCTGAGCTTGTTGATGATTTTCAGGTATAATACAGAAATTTTGCTATTTTTTTTGAGACTTGATCTCACTGTGTATCTCTGATTGGCCTGTTCACTATGTAAAATGGGCTGGCCTCAAACTCAGAGAGATCCACTTGCCTCTGATTCTTGAATGCTAGAATTAAGGGCATGCATCACCATGCCTGGCCTGAAAATTTGCATCTTAACTAGCTTTAATAAAAAGTTCCATTTGTCTCTCTTAGGCCTATAATAACTATTTTTCATTTTTGAGAACTAGTGTTGCTTTACTTGAGTGATATTAGTAATTATGCTTATGTTTGGAGCTGCAAGTTGAGGGGGAGCTGGACTAGTTTGTATCACTTTGACCTGATATTTGTATTGTCTTATATTCTTTAAAATTGCATCATAAAATCTTGTTGTAGTCTTCCTTGTATCAGTTTTGCTTACTTAGGGAATGGGGAGAACTAACTCAAAGAGCTAATTTCCCCTGTAGTTTACTGTACAGCAGAAGTAGGGGTGGAGAGGAAAGAAGATGGTGTGAAGTCTTGAAAATCCAGTTGAATCATAGTCTTGTTAGCATTTCTTATTTATTTCCTGAAATATAATTATGTGGCTTGGATTGCACAGCAAGTAATGTTGACTGAACTGTTGGCAATTAGACCTTTTTTTTGTTCTCACTGTTTTGACTTGTGGTGGATCCTTAAAAAAGTCTGAAAGTACCCAGATATTAAAGTGTGTGATTGAACTAGATAATCGCTAAGACTTGTAGCTTTTGCTACAAACTTCATTGCTCTCCATTTCCAAATCCTTATTAAGTATAGTTGATTAAAGAAAAAGACTAGTGTGACTTTATATATGCGACATAAAAGAGAAATATTTGCCATCTAATGATGCATTCCATCTTCTACAGTGCTGATTTTTCAAGTTTGTCTTTGGGAATAAACTTAGGAGTCTTGGAGCACAGTAGAAAAGACCTCCTACCTTCCATATTTCCTGGTGCTCCCTGTCCACCCCCACCCAGTATGACCTGGTGCTCCCTGTGGGTTTGAAGTGTGTTGGAAGGTTCTTGGAAACAGAGTAGTAGTAGGTCAGGAATCAGAGTAAAGGTAGTTGGGGTGGGGAGGGGAGGGTGAAGCAAGAATGGAAGGAGGAGGAGAGGGAGATCAGAAGAGGCTGTCTCTCCAGTCCTACCATATGGATTTCAAAAACAATTTTTTATTTTTGGTATTTTTCCCTTATATTTTAATTTGGCTTAAATTGTTACCAAAGTTATTAATGGAACATGTTTACAGTCAAATCATTTTACACAAGTAGTCCTCTGTGTGCTAGCTCTTACAATCACTTTTAGTAAGATTTCTTAGGTTAATGATCCTGATCTGAATAGGTTTAAAGTGCCATGTCTTGAATTTTCCTGCTTTCATTTACTTTTTTCTTTTTTAGTATCTTAAAAATCTTAAAAAACAGGTATTTCATAACTTCCATATGTACATGCTATAAATTTCCCTCTAATTACTGTTTTATGAGCCCCTCTTAGTAATTTTGAGGTTAGTACTTTTATTACCTGTGTCTTGAAACTTAATTTCTATTGTTTATTTTATTTTTTGATTTTTTTGAGACAGGGTCTCCCTGTAGCCCCACCTAACCTGGAAATCACTATGTAGATCAGGCTGACCTCAATTTCATAGAGATCCACCTGCCTCTGCCTCTGGCTTACTGGATTAAAGGTATGCATCACCATGCCTGGCTGTTTATTTTTATTTTTACTTGTATGTTATGTATTGCTGTGGTGTTTGGGTATCCGTGTTGTATCACTCTCTTACTTCTTTTAGACAGAGTCTTTTACTAGTGAACTTAGAGCTAAGCTTGAAATCTCCAGTGATCCTCCTGTCTCTGCTTCAGGCATCTTGGTGGAGTTGCAGACCACTTATGTGAACATGCCCCCTTGACTTTAAGAAAACTATTTCTTTATTTCTTTATTGTGTGTGTGTGTGTGTATAAGTCAGAGGTGTCTTCACTCTTCTTCCACCGTACAGGTCCGGGGGATTGAACTGAGGTTGGCAGGCTTGGTGTCAATCATCTTTACTTACTGAGGCTTCTGTCCTTACCCCATGCCCAGCTTTTTATGTGGGTTCTGGGGATTTGAACTCAGTTTCTTAGGCTTACATAGCAAGCTTTCTTACCTGTTAGCTATCTTCTTAGCACTCTTATTTTTCTTTTTAATTTCAAATAATAATACAGTGTTTCCTAACTACTGATTTAGAGGAAAACTTTAGAACTGTATACCTAATGCTGTTTTTGCTGAGCTCAATTGAAATGCTGCCATATATAATGACTGGGAATACATGATGATATTTTTGGAGATTAGATAGTTTATAGTAAGCTTTAAAGTTGAATGTAATAGCTCTCCTGCTAATTTATTTTAATGCATAAAAAAATCATCCTCTGTAAACATTTTATAAAAGGTTTACATTTCAGAGATGATTTTTTTTGGGGGGGGTACTTTTTGAGACAGGGTCTCCCTGTAGCCCCAGCTGTCCTGGAACTCACTATGTAGACCAGGCTGGCCTTGAACTCACAGAGATCTGCCTGCCGAGGGCTGGGATTAAAGGTGTGCACCGCCATGCCCAGAGATCTTTTTAATAGCAAGTTTTGATTTAAATGCTTAGCAGTAGGAGCATGAGTAATTCAGTTGTGATTTTTTTTTTGAAAAAATTTCATATGGGCTGGGTATGGTGGCCCATGCCTAAAATTACAGTACTTGTGAATGTGAGGCTGTAGATTGCTGTCAGTTTGAGGCCAGCCTGGGCTACATAGTGAGTTCCAGACCAGCTTGGGCCACCTACCTAATGAGACCCTATCTTAAACTACAACAATAATAAAATCTCAATGAACTAAAAGTTTTTTCTAGATATATTTAGGAAAGAAATGACTAATTGACTGGTAAGTAGCATCCTTTAAAAAAATCATTTATTTTGTGTGAGGTACTGTGTATAGTGTATATGCATGTCTGTGTGTGCGTACATGTGGAAGCCAGAAGAAGACATCTGAGGCCATAACTACCACTCTCTGCCTTATTCTTTTGAGACAGGGTCTCTCATTGAACCTAGAGTTAGACTGGTAGCCAGCAAGCTCCAGTGAACTTTCTGTCTCTGCCCCCATAGCACAAGAGTTAAGAGCAAGTGTGTGACCACACAGCCTTTTCTTCACATGATTCGTGTTGCTTGTGTTCAGGGCCTCATGTTTGCACAAGTACTTCCACCCACTGCCTCATCTCCCTAGTTCAGCAGCACCTTTGTAAAATTTGACTTCTGAGTCTAGAGACATGGCTCAGAGGTTAAGAGTACTGATTACTCTTAGGCTTTATCTCAGAGATGCAGGGATGATTCAATATACGCAAGTCAATAAATGTCATTATCATATAAATGGACTCAAAGACAAAAACCACATTGTCATCTCAATAGATGCAGAAAATGCTTTTGACAAAATTCAGCATGCATTTATGTTGAAAGTCTTAGAGGGAACTGGACTCAGGGAACATACCTCAACATAATTAAAGCTATATACAACAAACCCACAGTCAGTATCATTCTAAATGGAGAAAAACTGGAGGCATTCCCATTAAAATCAGTAACCAGACAAGGATGTTCACTATCTCCACTCCTTTTCAACAAAGTGCTTGAGATTTTTGCTAGAGCAGTAAGTCAGGAGCAGGAAATTAAAGGAGTAATAATTGGGAAAGAAGAGATCAAATCCCTTTTTGCAGATGATATGATATTATATCTAAGGGACACCAAAAATTCCACCCCAAAACTCCTAGAAATTATTAACAAATTCAGTAAAGTGGCAGGTTACAAAATTAACCTACAAAGTTCTGTA